CACAGCATATTTGAGAACATAGGAATGTTGGACCACTCTGACCACCATCGTGTCAGGTGACATAGAGAAGCCACTGAGATCCACAAGAAGCAGGTGGACAATTTCACGAGAAAGGAAGAAACCATGAAAATGAGCAAAATCTGGCTACCAGTCATAAAAATCCTCTAAAATCAATCTCTAGAGGTTCCAGTCATCCACAAACCAGATCAACAATTGTGTCACAGAGTTTCCAGAGAACCTACACACACGGATAGATACAGACATTAAAACTCCCACCATCACCCAAGTCAAAAAAGAAGCACCATGAAAGCCCTGGAAGGCCATACAAAAAGAATCTGCAAATCCCTCCTCCAAGGGGAACTGAAGAACCTCAACTGGCTTTGCAGGCCAAAGGAGACTCCACCAGAGGCATCAGAAGAGCTGCAAGACCGAGAACAAGGCACAGGAGTTAAGATCAAGATCCACCCAGAGGAAAAAGGTTCTTGCCATACATCAAGCGAACCACTGACGGCAGAGGGAAGCTGAGGAGGAAACACAACATACAAACTATCTACAGACCCACTAAGGAAATTCAACCAGTGCTCCGTTCAGCAAAGGACAAGAGGGACCCTCTCACCTCGGCAGGAGCCTACTGTATACCATGCAGCTGTGGACAAGTCTACATAGATGGGGACCACCAAATTAAGCACTGCCCAAGAACACATCAAGGAATATGGAAGGCACTGCAGACTACGTCAACCAGAGAAATCAGCCGTAGCAGAGCCCTTGATGAACCAACCTGGACACAGCGTATTTGAGAACACAGAAATGCCGGACCACTCTGACCACCACCGTGTCAGGCGACACAGAGAAGCCACTGAGACCCACAAGAAGCAGGTGGACAATTTCAAGAGAATGGAAGAAAACATGAAAATGAGCAAAATCTGGCTACCAGTCATAAAAATCCTCTAAAATCAGGACAGTCAATAAAGTATACCACTCAAATACAGGGGAATTCCAAACAGGAAACAATCAGGGCCAGCTAATCACCTCCCAACAAAGGATTCCCCCAGGCAGTAAGAAGCCAGACCTTGAAAACCGCTAGGTCATTAAATGCTAGTCAAGGTGGCCAGTTGCTGCCTTCACACTTGCCTGCAACACACAAGTGTTCTTTCTCCCACCCCGGAGGCTTTGAAACAGAGGCTGGATGGCCATCTGTCGGGGATACTTTGATTTGTTTGCATGTAATGTTTGCACATTGGTACATTACAAATTGTATGCGGATGCTTTTCCGTTAAGCCGCCGATGTTCATGTGAGGTTTGGGAGGGAGGATGGATCACGAATGATGGTTTCTGCAGTACCTCCACTCGCTTTGGCCCCAACCTCCACAGACCACTGCAACCCCCACTAATTAACGACCTGGACCAAACATGGGTCACAGACCCCACGTGACCCATGTTACATCCTGGTGAGGTTTGGTGGCGGATGGAACATGGACGATGGGATTTGCAGCCCCTTCATCTGCCTCCAGGGACCACTGAAGCCCCACCACTGATGGACCCGGACTCAGGCCCCCAATGACCCACTTCACATCAGGTTGAGCCTTGGGGGAAGGTGGAACATGGATGATAGGGTTCGCAGTACTTTCACCCTCATCAACGGACGGGTGTGACCCCCACATGTGACTGACTTGGGGCATAGACCCCTGATGACCAACTGAATATATTGGAGGAATTTGGCGGGAATTGCCATTCATTTTTGGAGTTGCAGTTCACCCGCACCCAGAGAAACTGACCTGTCCCCTCCCCCACCAATGGACTGGACTTAAACTGGGCACACAGAACCCTCATGACCAACTGAGCACACTGGAGGGGTTGGGGAGGGAACTGACCTTGATTTTTGGGAGTTGTAGTTCCTGTGCATCTAAAGAAACGGTAACCGCCCCCCTCCCCTGAGAATGGACCAAGAACAAATTTGGCACAGAGAACCTCATGACCAACTGAACATACTGGGGGCAGTGTGACCTTGCATTCTGGGAGATGTAGTTCACCTGAAATGAACACAGCCAGTGGGTGGAATTGCCTCCAGTGTCATCAGTTGGGAGTGACCCCCCCCCCAGCACCAACCACTGCTCTGAGATCAGAGTGAAGAGAGGGGCCAGGAAGGCATTCCATCTTGTCTCCTGCACTGTATTTATAATACATGGGGTATTTTTTAAGTAAGGTCCGTTGGAACAAAAGTTTATTTCCAAAAAGTAAATTTATTTTCAGAAAGTACATACTTCACTCTATTTTTCGACATCGTTGCCAAGTTTGTTCAAACACTTATCATACCTCTGAACCAATTTTAAAATACCTTCTTCATAAAAACTTGCCACCTGCTCCGATAACCAAGAGTTCACTGCCGTTTTCAGGTCGTCGTCATCATGGACGTTGTCACGGCCATCTTTGAATTGTCGTACCCACTTACGCACTTTGCTTTCACTCATCACAGTATCACCGTACACTTCACAAATCTGTCGATGAATTTCTGCAGCAGGCAGCTTCCTTGCTGACAAAAACCGTATCACTGAGTGAACCTCACATGCGAAGGGTGAGTTTGTTTGTTTTTTTGTCGTGTCAGGATTGACTTGAGAAACTGCAAGTCACTTCTGGTGTGAGAAAATTGGCCGTCTGCAAGGACGTTGCCCAGGGGACGCTTGGATCATTTTGATGTTTTTATCATCCTTGTGGGAGGCTTCGCTCATGTCTCCGCATGAGGAGCTGGAGCTGATAGAGGGAGCTCATCCGCCTCTCCCGAATTCGAACCTGCAACCTGTCGGTCTTCAATTCTGCCGGCACAGGGGTTTAACACACTGCGCCACCGGGAGCTCCAGCGAGGGGATAAGAAGAGAATCCAGCGAGGGGATAAGAAGAGACTGCGCCTGGGGCAAACTTTTGTTGAGGTAATTACCTCTCAACAAAAGTTTGCCCCAGGCGCAGTCAGGCCATTGTATGCTAATCAAAGTGGTCAGTTGGAACATTCACACCTAGCTCTAGCAGACAAGAGTCCTTTCTCCCACCCTGGTCATTCCATAGATATATAAACCCTTTTGCCTAGTTCCAACAGGCCTCACTACCTCTGAGGATGCTTGCCAAAATGCAGGCGAACCGTCAGGAGAGAATGCCTCTAGACCATGGCCATACAGCCCGAAAAAACCTACAACAACCCAGTGATTCCGGCCATGAAAGCCTTCGACAATACATCAAACAAATAGCCATTCACCCGCACCCAGAGAAACGGTGAGTCCTGTCCCGTCCATCCCCCCTGACAACGGACTGGACTTAGACTTAGCACAGAGAACCCCCATGACCAACTGAGCATACTGGAGGGGTTTGGGGGGGGGGGAGTGATCTTGATTTTTGGGACTTGTAGGAGCCCCCAGTGGCGCAGGGGGTTAAAGCGCTGAGTTGCTAAGCTTATTGACTGAAAGGTTGCAGGTTCCATTCTGGGGAGTGGCATAAGCTTCCGCTGTCAGCCCTAGCTTCTGCCAACCTAGCAGTTCAAAAACATGCAAATGTGAGTAGATCAATAGGTACTGCTCCGGCGGGAAGGTAAGGGCACTCCAGGCAGTCATGCTGGCCACATGAGACCCTGCTCATGATCCCGCCTGCGCCGCAAGCGCGTTTGGTGGGGACACGAGACAGGGCCTTTTCTGTGGTGGCCCCCTGACTCTGGAACACCCTCCCCAAAGATCTTAGACAGGCCCCTACGTTCGCAGTCTTTAGAAAGAACTTGAAGACCTGACTGTTCCGATGTGCCTTCCCAGATTAGGAAATCTCCAATACCAAGTCCCAGAAGCACTTTTTAAAAACTAAGATTGCCGCACACCACACACTGCACTTGCCCTATAAGCCTTATACACCACCTGTCACATCAGCACTTTTAATCCTGTGCCCATTACTCTGGCCCGGCCCAGTTTTATTGTGTCTTAGTGTATTGTTTATTGCCTGTTCTTTATATTGCTTTAATTGTTTTTAATTTGCCTCAGGTTTTGTATTGTTGCATTGTGTGTTGAGGCCTTGGCCTTTGTAAGCCGCATCGAGTCCTTCGGGAGATGCTAGCGGGGGACAAATAAAGTTTAATAATAATAAAAGTTTAATAATAACATGACCTTGGAGGTGTCTATGGAGAACGCCGGCTCTTTGGCTTAGAAACGGAGGTGAGCACCACACCCAAGAGTCAGCCAGGACTGGACTCAATGCCAGGGGGAAATCTTCACCTTACCTGGGCAAGGTGAGAGAGGGAAGGGCCTGGCTCGGTTGTCCTGCCACTCCCAGAATGCAAGGCCAGGCTTGCCATCTCCCCCCTCCCCCCCCCAAATCAAAATCCATATCGTGGCTTCTCCCCCCCCCCCCCCCCGCCAGGCCTCCTCAGAATCACCCTGTCTGCTTCCTTCCTTCTTCCCTTCTTTCTTAACTTCCTTCCCCCTTCTTTCCTCCTTTCCTTCCTTCTTAACTTCCTTCCTTCCTTTCCCCCTTCTTTCCTTCATTCCTTCCCCCTTCTTTCCTTCCTTCCTCCTTTCCTTCCTTCCCTTCTTCCCCCCTTCCTAACTTCCTCCCCCCCTCCCCCCTTTCTTTTCTCCTTTCCTTCCTTCCTTAACTTCCTTCCTTCCCCCCTTCTTTCCTTCCTCCCTCCTTCCTTTCCTTCCCCCTTCCTTCCTTTCCTTCTTCCCTCCTTCCTTCCTTCTTAACTTCCTTCCCCCCTCCCCCCTTTCTTTTCTCCTTTCCTTCCTTCCTTCTTAACTTCCTTCCTTCCCCCCTTCTTTCCTTCCTCCCTCCTTCCTTCCTTCCCCCCTTCCTTCCATTGCTTTTCTCAGGCCCGCCCCCTCCCTCCCTCCCAATCACTCGGGGAGACAGGCGAACCCCTCCTTCCCTCCTTCTCCCCCTTTTTAAAATTGGGTTATCTCCCTCCCCCTTCCCCCCCCCCCAGACACCCCTGGCCCCCCTTGGAGCAGTAGGCCGCGACCCCTGAGGCTCACCTGCTGGGCGCAAAGAGGAGTGGGCGAGGAGGAGGAGGAGGAGAAGCCCACCGAGGAGGAGGAGGACTGTATGACCTCCACCACGAGGCTCCAGAAGGGCCGCCGCTGCTGCTGCTGCTGTTACCAGGAGCGGGTGGCAGGCTTCTCTCTCTCTCTCTCGAAATGACACAAATGGCGCCGGGCTTCTTCTTCTTCTCCCCTCAGCGTGGCCCCGCCCACCGCCTCTCCCTCATTGCTTTCCCGCCCATCCTCCTGAGGGCCAATCAGGGCGCGGCTCTGCCCTGGAGGCTGCCCCGGGGCCCCGCCCCCTCCACTCTGGCCTGGCTTCGGCCTCCTCAGCTGGCACAAAATGGCGCCTCAGACTCCTCGTTTCCCTTTGAAGGTTCCGGGCGGACTACAACTCCCATCATCACGCCAGATGAACTCCCGGGAGGAAGCGCCCCCCTCAGAGTAGGGCAAAGGACCTCCAGGGGCGCCCGTCCTGGGTGGGCCCCTCTCTCTCTCTCTCCAGGGTGGACTACAACTCCCATCCTGGTGGGCCACTCCCGCCAAGGCCCCCCACTACGTCCAGGTGGGCCTGTGTGCCAGGTGAGGCCCAGGCCCGGCATGGGAGGGGTTCCCAGTGCCCTCTGATTGCAGGTGGACTACACATCCCAGCAACCCCAACTCACAATCGCCAAGGCCAGTCCCACCTCAGACCCGCCAGTATTGGGAACTGTATTGTCGAAGGCTTTCATGGCTGGAATCACTAGGTTCTTGTGGGTTTTAAGGCACAGCTTACCACCTCTCAACAAAAAAATTTTCCCAGGCTCAGCCAGGCCTTCTAATGCTAATGAAGGTGGTCAGTTTATTTATTTATTTATTTATTTGCTGCACTTATTAACCGCTATTCTCAGCCCTTACGGGCGACTCATGGCGGTGTACAGTACACATAAAAAGACAGTTACAAAAGCCAGAATCCACAACACATAACTATACACCAAATACAAAACTACATAAAAATCCGCTTCGTCTCTTAATAGAATCATAGGCCAGTCTCATCATCCTTATACCATTCCAGTTCTCATTACCGTAATGTTGTTGCTGCACTTAATTAAATGCCCTCTCGAACAGCCAGGTCTTAAGGCTTTTTCGAAAGGACATGAGGGAGGGCGCCTGTCTGATGTGTGCCGGGAGAGTGTTCCATAGCCGGGGGGCCACCACCGAGAAGGCCCTCTCCCTCGTCCCCGCCAGCCGTGCCTGTGAGGCAGGCGGGATCGAGAGAAGGGCCTCCCCTGACGATCTCAAGGTCCTCGTGGGCTCGTAGGCCGAGATGCGGTCAGCAAGGTATTTTGGGCCGGAACCGTTTAGGGCTTTGTAGGCCAAAACCAGCACCTTAAATTGGGCCCGGTAGCAAATCGGCAGCCAGTGGAGCTGGGACAACAAGGGCGTTGTGTGCTCCCTGCATCCCGCTCCAGTTAGTAACATGGCTGCCGCGCGCTGAACCAGCTGAAGCTTCCGGGCCGTCTTCAAGGGCAGCCCCACGTAGAGAGCGTTGCAGTAGTCAAGGCGGGATGTGACCAGAGCGTGTACCACCGTGGCCAAGTCAGACCTCCCGAGGTACGGGCGCAGCTGGCGCACGAGCCTAAGCTGTGCAAATGCTCCCCTGGTCACCGCTGAAACCTGGGGATCCAGGCTCAACGATGAATCCAGGGTCACACCCAAGCTGCGAACCTGCGCCTTCAAGGGGAGTGCGACCCCGTCCAGCACAGGCTGTAACCCTATATCCCGTTCGGCCTTGCGACTGACCAGGAGTACCTCTGTCTTGTCTGGATTTAGTTTCAGTTTGTTCGCCCTCATCCAGACCGTCACAGCGGCCAGGCACCGGTTCAGGACCTCGACAGCCTCCTTAGTAGCAGGTGGAAAGGAGTGAAAGAGTTGGACATCATCTGCGTACAGATGACACCGCACTCCGAAACTCCGGATGATCTCACCCAGCGGCTTCATGTAGATGTTAAACAGCATGGGAGACAGTATGGAACCCTGTGGCACCCCAACAGCTGTGGTGTTGAACAGGAGTCCCCCAATAACACCTTCTGGGTACGACCCTCCAGAAATGACTGGAGCCACTGCAAAGCAGTGCCCCCAAGACCCATTTCCGCAAGGCGCCCCAGAAGGATACCGTGGTCGACGGTATCGAAGGCCGCTGAGAGGTCCAGGAGCACCAACAGGGACACACTCCCCCTGTCTAGCTCCCGGCGCAGATCATCCACTAAGGCGACCAAGACCGTCTCGGTACCATGTCCCCCGGTCTGAAACCAGACTGTGCCGGATCCAGATAATCCGTGTCTCTCAAGAATACCTGGAGTTGTGAGGCCACCACGCTTTCCATGACTTTGCCCAAAAAGGGAGATTGGAAACAGGCCGAAAGTTGTCCAATTTAGTGGGGTCCAGTGATGGCTTCTTCAACAGCGGCTTTATAATAGCCTGTTTTAGGCTCGCTGGAATCTTGCCTTCCCGAAGGGAGGCATTCACCACCACTGTTACCCACTCGGCCAATCCCCCTCTGGCCTCTCTTAGAAGCCAGGATGGGCAGGGGTCTAGGATGGACGTGGTGGGCCTCATTCCTCCAAGTATCTTGTCCACATCCTCGGGTTTCACAAACTGAAAAGAATCCAACAAAATAGGACAAGCAGGTGCTCTCGTTACATCCACAGAATCTGCATCTAACGCGGCGTCCAGCCCAGAACGGATCAAGGCGACTTTGTCTGCGAAGAACCGAGCAAATGCTTCACAGCGCGTGACCGAATTGTCAGGGCTCCCACCTGCAGAGGCGGGAGTTAAAAGACCTCTGACAATCCGAAACAACTCCGCCGGACGGTTCTTTGCAGACGCAATAGTGGCCGCAAAGAAAGTTTTCTTTGCGGTCTTTATTGCCGCGGCATATGCCCTCAGAAAGGACACAAACCGTGCTCGGTTTGACTCGCTCGGTTCCGAACGCCACACGCTCTCTAGTTCCCTCTTCCTTCGCTTCATAGCTGCCAGCTCCTCAGTAAACCAAGGGGCTGGTTTAGCTCGGCTACTTGAGAGGGGACGTTCCGGAGCAATCATGTCAATAGCCCTGGTCATCTCCCCATTCCAGAGAGCCACCAAGGCTTCGACATGGTCACCTACCGAGGTGGCGGGAAAATCCCCAAGAGCCGTCAGGAAACCATTCGGATCCATCAGTCTCCTGGGGCGGACCATCTTAATGGGTCCTCCACCTTTGCAGAGGTTAGGGGGTGCAGTGAGCCTAAATCTGATCAGGAAGTGGTCGGTCCATGGCAACGGAGAGATGGACAACTCCTCCACACCGCCACCCTGTTCCCATCCCTGGCAGAAAACCAAATCCAATGTGTGTCCAGCACAGTGGGTGGGGCCAGATATTTGTTGGGACAGCCCCATGGTTGCCATGGCAGACATGAAGTCCTGAGCCGCGCCTGTGAGGGTCGTCTCGGCATGGACGTTGAAGTCCCCCAGCACAAGAAGCCGTTGAGACTTCAACGCCAGGCTCGAGACCACCCCCGCTAGCTCAGGTAGGGAGACTGTAGTGCAGCGAGGTGGACGGTACACTACTAGAATCCCTATACTGTCCCGGTCACCCACCCTCAGGTAGACGCTTTCGAAGTTTGCGGTCTGCGGGATGGGGCACCTGGTCAGATGGATGGAATCCCTATAGACCACTGCAACCCCGCCTCCCCGCCCTCCGGATCTAGGTTGGTGCTGCACGGAGAAACCCGGAGGACAAAGCTGGGTCAGATTTACTCCTCCAGCTTCATCCAACCAGGTCTCCGTGATGCACGCCAGATCTGCCCGTTCGTCCAGGATTAAGTCCTGGATCCAGGTCGTTTTTCCGTTGACAGATCTGGCGTTCAACAGCACCACCTTCAGTCCGGAGGGTCCGCTCACCTGGTTACACCAATTTACCTTAGGAGATCGATTTGGGATTTTGATTATAGATAAGTGGTCCGAATTAGGCCGAATTTGAAGTCTCCTTTTCCCGCATCTCCTCCTTCCCACCACGACCTCTATGGGGGCCCCTCGGCCAATAGAACACCTCCCCTCCTCCATGCCGCTATTCCTGGCTAGGGTCTTAATCACAATTTCACCAGCTGTTTGGGATGTTGGCGTTTTGTCTTGCCAATTGTGCTGGCCTTCTTCATCCCCCCTCCCCCCCTCATTGTTTCCCACAGGTTCCAACCCACTACCTCCCCTGCCCCTTCCACCAGATAATAATAACAGAAAGAGTAAGCATAGGAGGGTGGAGGACCACATGGATGGAAATGGACACTTCGGTAAATGAAGGATATCGGAGGCAAGCGTTAGCCGCGAATTAGGTAGGTCCTTGAGTACTGGAGTCTTAAAGTGCAAAGTGCAAAGTACCTTCCGCGGCTACCGAGTAGTTCTTAGGTGTAAGGTTTTTTGTTTTTTTTTTTTTTAAAGTGCAACAAGATATTAAAGTGCAACAGCCTCAACAGAAAAATATTTGGCCTTCTATACAACTAAAGTGCGGCAGGAGGAGTTGAGAGGGGTAAAGTGCAACGGTTGATAAAGTGCAAACAGTTGGCTACGGAACAGGCGCCACTAAGCGCTATATTATGTTCTTATTACCACATTAGCTGCAGAGGTAGGATGGATTATATCGTGCAATGTTCGCAAAATGTACACAGTAGTCGGGAGACTGGCAGTTAGTAAAGTGCTATGATTAGATGTAAATGACTGACGTTTGATGTAAGTTAGCGGATAGACCTCCGGGGATGGTCGACACGATGGCGCGCAAGATGGCGCGCAAGTTTATGGCCGCGATGGTAGGCGGCTCACGCCTGATGACGGACAGCCCACCCCTCCCCCCTCACAAAAATGACACTGCTCGGCCGAAGATCTTAATAATCGCCATAAGGATATAGTAGTCTCAGTAGTCGGTCGGCACAGGCCTGTTGTAAATGGTCTTCCAAGACAAACTTGCTGGCGCAGGACGCAAGAGAATGCAGTCATTCAGCCGGATGGTCATACAAACAACTCAGTCAG